GCATGTTTGCAGTTTTTGTAAATTTGTCGAGTACCATCTGAAAATAATTATTACTATTCAGTGATTCTCAAGCTTTCTCAATTTTGGCAGTGTATATGAACCACCTGAAGATTGTATTTTAATTGGTTAAAACAATGGTTCTCATTGAGTTTCAGCCTTCAGTGTGCATGAAACTCACTTGGGAGGCTTGTTCAATCACAGCTTGCAGAGCTCTGCCCTCCAAGTTTCTGATTTGCTGCGTCTGGGGTGCAGACCATTATTTACTTATCTACCGTGTACCCAGGTGATGAGGTTTTTGGTCTTGTAGGCATGCTTTGCGTTTACAAGATTTAAGAGCAGTAAATATCACTATGATCCTTATGGGTGCCTTACAACCAGGATTACCTTCACCGGTTGCGATTCCTCAAAAATATTTTAAAATCATTATTGACCTTAAAGATTGCTTTTTTACAATTCCCCTTCATCCTGCTGACCAAAAAAGATTTGCCTTTAGTCTTCCATCTACAAATTTTAAACAACCAATGAAACGCTATCAATGGAAAGTCTTACCTCAGGGTATGGCTAATAGTCCTACCTTGTGTCAAAAATATGTAGCTGCTACTATAGAGCCAGTCAGAAAAACGTGGGCACAAATGTATATTATACATTATATGGATGATATTTTAATAGCAGGAGAAATTGGCGAACAAGTCTTACAGTGCTTTGCTCAACTCAAACAAGAGTTAGCAGCAGCTGGACTACAAATAGCCCCAGAAAAGGTACAATTACAAGGTCCATACACCTATCTTGGTTTTCAAATTAATGGACCCAAAATCATTAATCAAAAGGCCGTTATACATCGTGATCATTTAAAAACTTTAAATGATTTCCAAAAATTACTGGGAGACATAAATTGGCTTCGGCCATACTTAAAACTCACTACAGGAGAGTTAAAACCTCTTTTCGATATATTAAAAGGAGACTCTAATCCAAAATCTCCCAGGTCCATTACTAAAGAAGCATTAATGGCACTCCAACAGGTAGAACATGCCATTGCAACACAATTTGTTACCAGTATTGACTATTCTCAGCCATTAATATTCCTTATTTTTAACACAACAATAACCCCTACTGGCCTATTTTGGCAGAACAATCCCATTATGTGGGTACACCTGCCCTCCTCCCCTAAAAAGGTTTTGTTGCCTTATTATGATGCCATAGCTGATCTAATTATCTTGGGAAGAGAAAACAGTAGAAAATACTTTGGAATAGAACCCTCTACCATTATACAGCCCTACACTCAATCACACATTCATTGGCTATTACAAAATACGGAAGCCTGGCCAATTGCTTGCGCTTCTTATACTGGCGCGATTGACAACCATTACCCACCTAACAAACTCATTCAATTTTGTAAACTTCATGCGTTTGTGTTTCCCCATATTACCAGCAAAGAACCTCTCAATGACGCATTATTAATTTTCACTGATGGATCTTCCACAGGACTTGGCGCTTACATTTATAATAATGTAGTCGTTAAATTCCAGACCACTTATACATCAGCTCAGCTGGTCGAATTGCAAGCTATAATTGCAGCACTATCAGCTTTTCCTTGTCAGCCACTTAACATTTACACAGACAGCACCTACCTGGCTCATTCAATACCCCTCTTAGAGACCGTGCCTCAAATTAAACATATTTCAGACACAGCTGACCTATTTTTACAATGTCAACAACTTATCCGAAAAAGGACTACTCCCTTTTTTCTTGGGCATATTAGAGCACATTCAGGATTACCGGGACCTTTAACACAAGGTAACGCAACAGCTGACACGGCAACAAAAATCATAGCCACAGTCACTACAGACAATTTGCAACAAGCACAAAAAGCACATGCCTTGCATCATTTAAACGCCCAAACCTTAAGACTCATGTTTAAACTTACCAGAGAACAAGCTCGACAAATAGTTAAACAATGCGCCAACTGCATAACGTATTTGCCTGTTCCCTATCTAGGAGTTAACCCCCGAGGACTCATCCCCAACGAAATTTGGCAAATGGACGTTACTCACCACTTAGAATTCGGTCAGCTAAAATATATCCATGTATGCATAGACACCTATAGTGGATTCGTCAGTGCAACTCTCCAAACAGGAGAGGCCACCAAACATGTCATAGCTCATTTATTGCATTGTTTTTCTATTTTAGGAATACCCAAACAAATCAAAACAGACAATGGCCCTGGTTATATAGCCAAAACCTTTTTACAATTCTGTAATACCCTACAAATTAAACATACCACAGGTATTCCCTACAATCCCCAAGGACAAGGTATAGTAGAAAGAGCTCATCTGTCTTTAAAAACTGTTATCACAAAATTAAAAGGGGGGAGCTGGTACCCCGTGAAGGGTACCCCTAGAAACATACTCAATCATGCCCTGTTTATCCTTAATTTTTAAAATTTGGACAGTCATGGAAAATCGGCTGCCGATCGTTTCTGGCATCCTGAATCTCAAAAACAGTTTGCAATGGTAAAATGGAAAGATCCACTTGATAGTTCATGGCATGGCCCCGATCCAGTTTTAATTTGGGGAAGAGGCTCAGTATGCATCTTCTCACAAAAAAATGATGCAGCCGGATGGCTGCCTGAAAGATTGGTAAGACAAATAAATCATAACCATTGTCAGTCCAGGGAAGATAAATCTCCCTGAGAAGTTCTTTCCTTTTTGTTTTTCAGAAAATGAAGCCTAACATGAGATTCCTTTGGAGAATAATCGCTCTATATAACATAGTGACAGTCTATGCAGGTTTTGGTGACCCTCGTAAGGCAAGAGAATTATTACGAAAATAATACGGCCAGCCTTGTGATTGCAGAGGGGGACAGGTATCTGAACCTCCGTCAGACAGAATCACCCAGGTGACTTGCTCGGGCAAGACAGCTTACCTAATGCCAGACCAGTCATGGAAATGAAAAGTGCTGTTTTTACGCCAACAAATCCGGAATCGTCAGAGATAAGATAAAGACTTTACAGGAAGAACTAGAAGAGCGCAGAAAAGGTCTGGTCGCTAATCCCTTGTGGACTGGACTCGATGGACTTCTCCCCTATCTCCTGCCATTTCTTGGTCCTTTACTTACTCTTCTACTCTTTCTCACTCTCGGGCCTATAATCTTTAATAAGCTTATGGCATTCGTCAGACAACAAATCGAGGCCTTCCAGGCCAAACCTATACAGGTCCATTATCATCGCCTTGAGATGACTGAAAATGGTGAGTCTTATTTACCTTAATAAGACCAACTCCCCTGTGTGCTGAACTGGACAGTCAATGACGGGTAAGAGGACACTATCTCCATCGGAGCCTAAGACAGGAGGGCCGCCCTTGCTGCTGCCTTATCCCATGACAGGCCTAGAAGGTGGGGATGAGTTGACCCAACCTAAGACAGGCGCAGTTCCCGAGGGGTCATTTTCTCATCATAAAATAATTAAAAGGGGGACCTGTCCGGAGCTGCACGCCCCGGCCATAGCGAATAATACCTGACGATTAAAAACGCCTGAGCTCTATTCATTTCTACCTTCTACCTCCTCCCTAGATTTACCTTTTTCCCTGTATTAATACCTCATAAAAGATGGCGCTCTTCCTGCTTCTTCTTCACCCATTTTTCCCGCGCCCGCGAAAATTACTACCTGACAGCGCAGGTGCAACATGACGTTCGACCAGAGAAACCAATACCTATCTGGCCACGCCTTCACTATGAGATCATTTTCGCCTTGGCCCAACCCCTTCCCCTCCAAGTGTATATAAGGCACTGCATTACCGCCATTAAACGAGACTTGATCAGAGCACTGTCTTGTCTCCATTTCTCGTATCTCTTGTTCCCCAAATTCCCACCCCCTCCTCCAGGGCCTGCTTCGACTATCCTGCGGGCCGGGATATATTATTTTTTGTAGAGATGGGGTCTAACTATGTTGCTCAGACTAACTTTAATTTTGAGATTCAACTCTAGAAAACATTGTGTGCTACCAGATGATATACAATGTGAGGACAACATACAGGAAAGAATTGATCATGTTCTCCTTTAGGCTAGCACCATGCAACCATACAGATTTTATTTCAGCCTTTGTGAAACAGTAACAAACTGATATTTAACAAATCTGCCTCCTCATTCTAAACCACCTTCCTTTCTTTCCATGTTGCCAGTATTGAGCCAACTGAATAATTGTCCAAGGTGTGCTACAGTTTAGGTAAAATTTTCTGTTAAACTATTGTATCCTTATTAATTGGCTATTTCTTTCAGGTCAACACACCTCAATTTGTTCAGGCTTATGTGATTTTGAAATAATTTAAGATATATCGGAACATTGCAAGCGAGAACTATTGATTTCCCCTGTGTCCACCTAATCTTGAGGATACATGTAACAGAAACTGTTGGAATATCATACCCTATAGAGCAGTGATCTTCAACAAAACTTCCTGCAGTGATGGAAAAGTGTATATCTGAGGTGCCCAATATGATAACCACTAGTTATATGTAGCTATAGAGCATTTGAAATAATAAATGTGACTGAGAAAGTAAATAGTTTTATTTAATTTTACTTAATTTAAATTTAAATAGCCATATAATGTATAATTAGTGGCTACCTATTAGCTCTACTCTGGAGTTAGAAGATAGTTAGAAATCAAGTATTTTCAATGCCACAACGGATGCTAGCTATGCATCTTTATACATTGCCGTTTAATTAACTTCATAAACGAGTGTTTTTCCAGTCACATTGCTGTGCAATGGGAATTCAAAGATAATATGCATACACAGAATTCTAGACATTTTTACTTTCTAAGGAGCAGTTGTGATAATATTTACCTCAAAAGTCACACACATTTGAATAATAAATATTTACCCGTATCAGTTCACCCTGATCAAAATTAGATAGCTTTGCAGACGAATGAAAGAAGGGAACTGAGAAAAACAGATTGGGCTTCACGAAGCAGAAAAACAAATATGAACAATAAAGTAAAAACTTTGATAATAGAAGGAAAAGCTTCAAAATGAATTTAATAGGATCCAGTAGCAGAAAACAGATATGACTAGAATGATACACATTCTAAGAAATATTCTTTTAGATTTGCTCAAATTTATTTTTAAAACATTTCAGATTGTATAGATTTTGACATACTGATTTATTCAATATTATTTCTTCTAGCCTATGCACCTGGTAAGAGTAAAAATTATGTCTTGCTTTTTCAGGGTACCCTTTCACCTGGAATGCTGCTTGACCCATAGGAAGTCCTTAGGAAATATTAGATGAAAGCCGGGCTTAATCACTGTGTCCTGAGCACTGTAATATAAAAACATTAAATCCACATAAATAACATATTGATGAAACTATATGACTTACAATAAATATTGGCAGCATCATAGAAAGAGCAGATCATTAACATGGAAGCAACACCAATATAACTTTCATCAGCAGCAGGATATAACAGGAATAAAAGAAATATATTTCAAGTGACAAAATATACTAGTAACCAATAGCAGCAGTTTGTTGCTATTGGAAAGCCAGAATTCAACAACCTAATTTTCTTTTTCTTTCTCAGGGGATAATCACTGTTTTCATGTGTGACTTTCCTCCAATGTATATATATATACACATATATACACACACACACACACATGAGTATGTCTGTCTGCACATGTATGTGCTCATGCACAGTTCTATATGCTTTCATAAATTATTTTATTTTTTGTTTAGACAACAAAGGAAGAGAAAACTCAGAAAGATGGTATTCCTGATGGACAGAAAATGGTAAAAGGTGCTTAGGACTATCTCAATATTTCATTTTATTAAATATATTTTAAATAAGTAGGACTATATATAATCTATGAAGACTAAAGGAAAAGATATGGCTCCTTGTTATGTCATTAGCCACATATTTTTTCAATTGATTAGAATATTTTATAATTAAAAATGAAATAAAAATATATTTGCTGTACAAAAACTAAATTTGTAGTGCTGTCATATATTTCTAAAACATAAAATGAATGTGGCATAAACCAGTTGTATATAGATTATTATCAATATACAACTTTTATTGCACAATAACCACTATTGAATCCCTAAAAAGACACAAGTTAATTTAAACAATTCTTTTTTGGTATGCTTTGTCACACAGAACACAAAATCTTAAAGATTTCTTTAAGGTGGATTCTTGTATAAAATGGAAAACTCCCATATATTTATGGATTAATGATTTATACATAATATGCTTGGGAAACTGTGAACATATTTCTAATAACTCCATATACAGTTTTCCACATATTTATTGTGACACTAGTTTTAAGTAAGTGCCAATTTACGCTGTTTAAAAACCAACCATAGAAGTGTTGAAAGTGTTATTTCTTTAGAAAATAACAATCCTTAGAAAATGTATTTAAACCTACTGTAGATATGTGTATCTACGTTACATTGAGTTTAGAAAGAGTAGCCATTAAATTAACATGTTTAATTTCTCATTAATTTACACTTGAGCAAAACATAGCAAGTGTTTATTATAATTGTGTCCCCTGTTCATAAAATGTATACATTTTTATTTGATAGTTGCCTTTACCAATTTTATAAATTTTCTTTTATTACCATTGTCAAAAGATGGCTTGTTGAATTTTTGCCCATGAAAGATTTTATTCCAGCATTGAGTCATATTAAAATATGAAAAAATTTGAGTTGGCAGGAAACACATGAAATCAGCAAAGTTAAGAGAACATAGTGGTATTGAGGGAATCTGGGAAAATACTGCTTATCTAGCATCAGAACCATTGCTGCCCAGAGGCAATTTTAATTAGGCCACAATTCATATAGCAGAAAGCAGTTTTGTAATTACCTTCAAATGACCAGATGATATAGAATTCTAAGGAGAGTTGGCTATTCCCAGTAATGAACCAATTTGCAATTGACTGGAATTTTTATGTAAGGCATTTATTGGGCAAACAATATTTAAAAATATGTTACTTCAAATTCATATCCGTGTAAATAGGTGAATTTTAGTGGCTTATTTCAGAAGATGTAGAATAAAAAGAATTTAAAAACAAAACCTACCAATTTTTAAAAACATTCTACTTAAAATTAACAGTACTATTTATAAAACTGATAAATATTTACAACCCTTAACTAAGTTTTAGATTGGACCATAAAAATTTTAATTAATTTGAGTATGAGAATTATATTAGTTAAAATCTGAAATATTTATTAATGATGAGTAAGGAAATAGAATTGTATTAGTCTGTTCTCATGCTGTTAATAAAGACAAATCTGAGGCTGAGTAATTTACAATGCAAAAGAGGTTTAATGTACTCATAGTTCCACATGGCTTGGGAGGCCTCACAATCATGGCAGAAAGTAAAGGAGGAGAAAGGCTTGTCTTACACGGAGGCAGGCAAGAGAGCATGCCCAGGGGAACTCCCTTTTATAAAACCATCAGATCTCGCGAAACTTATTCACTATCATGAGAACAGTATGGGAAAGACCCACTCCCATGATTTGATTACCTCCCACCAGGTCCCTCCCATGACACGTGGGAATTATGGGAGCTACAATTCAAGATGAGATTTGGGTGGGGACACAGTCAAACAATATCAGACATGCCTCATTTTCTGCTTCAGCGTGCCTACAGAGAATTCTTCCTTATCAAATTGACTTAAAAATCATAACACTTTCTTAATCTTTATGTTTGCCTTTTTCAAAAGATAAGTGACTTTACTACATTAACATACTATCCCAAACCAGAGACATAGCTTCTCTAAACTATAGATAAATAAAATTACTATGACATAGGCAGAAAATATGATGGTGAGTTCTTGTAATTTATCTAAAAATACTTTCATTCCTCAAGATATAAGCATTATCAAGAGAGTAGAATTGATTGTCTGTGAATACAGAAAATGTCTGAAATATTATGGGAAATTAAGAATGTCTACATAAGTACATTTAACTTATAGTTGCAATTACTGTAGACTTTATAAAAATTAATCCTTACAGTTAACTGTTATGACCTTCACTTAACAGGTGAAGAAAAGATATAGAAAAATTGAATGATTTACCAAGGTATACACAGATAGAAACATTGAAAACTAAATTTGACCCTAAGCGGTTTGCTTTCATAGCTGACATTCTTGACAACTGTGCCATGATTTCTATTTATACTTTGCTGCTTATATATATTTTATAATACATTTTGATTAAAGCAAATGTATATTAAATATTCACATCAATATGTCAATACCTATAAGGAATTCAGAGAATCACCATACCTCTCTTGTTCTGAGAATTTAAGTAGGTAGAAAACAGAACTAAAACACTGAAATATATACACATGTTTATGCTAATATATATTACTTTGGAACATGTGAGATATTTTAACGTGTATTTGAGCACACGTAACCATTACTAACTGATTATATATACGATGAATACATAATTATTGCAATATTTGAAATACAGAGAAAATACTGTTGGGAGGCAGTTATTTATGGATTTCTCTCATTTCTAACAGGTCTTATGATCAGACACTCTTTCTGCCATTGTTCTAGATTATCTGATGATTGGAGAGTCAATAGCATTAGGAAATAGATACATTGTCTCCCTAGAGAGGAAAGGACAGGTTTGTTTACAGCCTCAGTAAAATAAGATTATCTTTCTCCAGAAAATGGGCAGATATGATATCTGCCCTCTGTATATCGTTTGGGTTTACTTCTAATAATATAAACCACTGCATAGGCAGACATCTATCTTGCTCACCTACGTGACCCCTTTCAGACCTGCGGGCAAGTGGAGCAGGCACACTTACATGGTTCATGCTACCTGTTTTACGATGTGTAATAAACTGCTTTGGCCTCCAACCCAAGAATCTTGTGTTTTGACAAAATCCATGAAATTTTGATAGGCTAACATTTTATCTTGCAAATAAAGTAAAATCTCAAACCCTTCACGGTTCTTTACAAACATGGCATTTAACAATAATTCAGGATCTAGACCTACCAACCAATCCAGAATGTTTAAAAAAACATTAATATATATTTTAACAGACCTGCGGGCAAGTGGAACAGGCACACATTTAACAAATGAAAGAGAAAAAGTACAATAGATAGTTCAAAATTTTGTCTTAGAAAGAAATGCAAAATTGTAATTAGAGGTATTTAAAAATAATAACAATATACTTTACATAGTAAAAATTATGTAGATTAGACAAATTTGGATACACGAATTTGTTTATAAAGAAAGAAATGAATGAAAATAGTGGAATTAACTATTAATTCAAGAACTGAACAAAGGTAACTAACAAGAGCTCAATGTAGACTATCAAATTACACCTCACGAACTAAAAGATCTTTTTTTAAGGCACACAATCCACTACTAATAAATCTAATAAAGAAAATAAATGTCAGAAAAAAAGTCACATTCACAACATCAGAAATCAGAAGATGAATATAAAAATGGATAGAGCATCAATTCCAGTAAGTATGAGAGAAATAGTCACATATTCTGTGCTAATAAATTTGAAAATCTAGAAGGAACGGACACTTTCTCAGGAAAATGTGAATTAGAGATTACCATGTGAGAAAGAATAGAGCATCTGCATAACAAAACAAAACAAAAAAACGGCATTGAGACTATTAAGGGAATTTAATAGAAAATATCAAAAATATAATCTAAGTTGTTTTAATGAGCTCATGAAAGTATGAGGTATTGATAGATTAATCTAAATTTGGTATTATGATTTATTAATAGGGTATACACAAGATGATTACATGCAAATGTGTAATTTCATCCTGAGATCAATATCAGTGATTGCTTTGTTAACTTTACTTCACTAGCTTGTTGTAATTGTTTTTCTATGTATTTGTTGTTTATTTGTTTATGGGCTGTTACTAATGTTGTGTGTGTAGAATATCTAAAAGAATTCTCCAAAACCAAGCAAAGATACCCAATCCCACTTACTCAAACATAAAGTTATCAATGCTAGATTTACATTGTCTTAATTCTTAATTCTTTTTGAAGAAAGCCATAGGGAAATTATCTGGAAAATAATAGACTGGGTAACTTATTTAGACTTCAGAAAGTTTCTTATAAGATTAGAATAAAACCTATCTCCTTTTAAGCTTTTTATCCTTTTGATTTTTCTCATCTAACTTTATATAATCAGTCTCAAGGCCAACACTATCAAGATTCAGAATAAGTCAGTGTGAAAGATATTGATTTCTGGATTGTTTAAAATATCAATATTAAAATTAGACATTTTTACGAAAGAATTTTTTCTTAGCAAGTATTTAATGAATGTTCTCTAGTATTTTTCTCTTATGTATCTGTCTCTATATCATGAACAAGTATCCATAGAAATACACAAATTTCAGTTCATAATTCTTTGAGTTTAGAAATAAATTATCATATATTTTATATTAATGATTATATCTTATTATATAATATAGCATTATGCTTGCTAGATATAAAGCTTAAAAATATATGCTATTTAAATAACACCTCCAAAATGGAGCATTAAACCATATCAAATCCTTATTTTGGGAAGTTAGATCTGGTTTGGAAAACATACATTATTTGAAGAAAAAAACCTGAGAACTCTATGAAGAAAGAAGTTGAAATAAGAATATTTTTGTAGATTGAGCTTTTTGCATTATTGAAAGTTATTTCATTGTTGCTCACTCTATATTTGCCTCTTGCTCCAAAATAATACTTCTCTGAGGAAATATTTACAAGTCAGCATAAAGTATTTTATTCTTTAGAACAAATGTACCAACTTACCTACGTCCATTTCAGACATTGAAAACAAAATGAACTGCATTTATCATAGGCCAACCCGCAATTGGGAAGCTGGATCCAAATATTTGTTATTTACATAATGCATCAGTCCAGAAACCAACAATTTTGCTTGCAGTTCACTAGTTCCTACCTATTAAGAGAAAAATAGAATAGAAAGAGGAGACAGGGAAGAAAGAGAAGAAAAATATAAAGAAGAAATGGAGGAGTATATTCTACGACCTGTACTTCATCTGCATCAATGGCCCATATTGAAAATTTTTGTAGTATTTGATACCTAATATATGTCTCTTTGCACATGCAATGTCTCATCTGGTCCTGTTTTCATATTATTGAAATATACACTAAATCTCATTAATTATCACCATTAACTCAGCCATTATTCATAGGCAGCCACAGCTTTCTTTTTATTGGACAATTACAATAGCCCCCAACCGTTCTCCCAGCTTCTAGTATTTCTCCTGTTGTCCATTCTCTGTATAAAAATCTTAGTGAGCATTGCTCTATTCTTGAAATATTCCAAACGATTATTTTTCCTGTTTCTGGAAATTTGCGCTTCAGAATTTTACACTTCCTATTGTCTCTATTTTGCCCCTCTTCCCCCTCATATGTGATTGTATTTGTTTTTACTCTCATCTGGCTTAAATGTCATCTAATTCCAGAAGATTTTTTTTCTGGCCACCCTAAATTATTATCTTTTCATTCTCTCAGAAAACAATATTTTAGATTATTGAGAACATATATCATTATTAGAAATTATTTTATTCTACTTTGTCACAAATGAAATATAAATTTACTATGAGAAATAAGTACTTTATAATTATAATGAATAATTTGGAATATCTGAATTAGCAATTAAATGGATAAATGTATTTATTTACTCGATAATATTCATACAATATAAACAAATAAGAAAAAGATTTAAACCATTGTAAACAAGCTTTGATTAAAAACTATTTTCTCTTATTTTGGAAAGATACACAAATAAAAATCAAACATACAAAAACTTATGGAACAGATTTAGAAATAAAAAATGCATATCTCATATGGAGTGTTTGAACTGCCCTAGGTTAGATCATAACAATAAGAAAAAAGTTGTCAATCAAACATTATTTGGATTTTCATTATTTCATTCAGTAATCATGGCAGACCAATTAAATGTAGCATTTGGCGTCCAAGCGTTGTATTTACCCATTTGTTCACTCATCTGCTCATCTATCAGTTTATTCATTCAATATTTACTCAATGTTATCATGTTCTAAGTTCTATACTTAAGAGAATGCAATTTCAGAAGAAGCAAACAATATGATAGAGCTCAAGGAACATAAACAATAATTCTAATGAATGTATAATTCGATAATAATTATTGCAGAATTACATTCAATAAACATTAGTATAGTTTGGATGCTTGTCTCCTCCAAATCTTATGTTGAAATGTGATCCCCAATATTGGAGGTACGACTTGGTAGAAGGGTTTGGGTAATGGGGGAGGATCCCTCATGAATGGCTTAGTGCCCTCCCCGTGGTAGTGAGTAAGTTCTTTCTCTGAGTTCACGTGAGATCTGATTGTTTAAAGAGTCTGGAACCTCACTCCACCTTGATCTCTCTCTCACCATGTGACACTGCCTGCACTCCCTTTGCCTTTTGCTAAGACTGTAAGCTTTCTGAAGACTCACCAGAAACAGATGCGGGTGCCATGCTTTCTGTACAGCTTGCAGATCGATGAGTCATCCCTACTGCTCCAATTCCTGCTGTTGATCAAATGGCTTCAAGTACAGCTCATCCCACTCTTCTGGAGGGTGTAAGCCATCAGCTTTGGTAGCTTCCAGGTGGCATTAAGTCTGCAGGTGCTCAGAATGCAAGCATGAAAGAGGCTTGGCAGCTTCTAACTAGATTTCAGAGGATGTATGAAAAAGCCTGGGTATTCAAGCAGAAGCCTAACAGAAACCCCTGCAGAAACATTATACTAGGGCAGTGCCAAGGGGAAATATGAGATTGGTCCCTCCCATGGAGTACCTACCACAGCACTGCCTAGAAGAGCTGTGATACTGGAACCACCACCCTTCGGATCCCCAAATAGTAGAGCCACTGGCAGCTTGCACTCTGATCTTAGCAAAGCTGCAGACACTCAACTCCAACTCATGAAAGCAGTCACAGAGGCTGCACCCTGGAAAGACACAGGGGAGGAGCTGAGGAAGGCTTTGGGAGGCCACTCCTTGCACCAGTGTGCCTGTGGAAGCAGGACATGGAGTCAAAAGACATTATTTTGGAACTTTAAAGCATAATGACTCCCCAGCTGGGTTTCAGACTTTCATGGGAACTGTTGCCCCTTTCTTTTGGCTGATTTCTCCCTTGTGGAATGGTAATGCATATCCAATGCTGTATCACTATTGTATCTTGGGAGTAAATAGTTGTTTTTTTTTTTTTATCTCACAGGCTCATAGGTGGAACAAACTCATGTCCAGATGAGATTTTGGACTTTAGACTTTTTTTGGGGGCCTGGAGCAAGTTAAGCCTTTGGAGGTCAATTGGAAAGATGATTGAATTTTGCAATGTGAGAAGAGGACATGAGACATTGGGGGACAGAGAGGGAATGACACTGTGTAGATACTTGTCCCTTCAAAATCTCGTGATGAAATTTAATCCCTAATGTTGGAGGTGGGGGCTTGTGGGAGGTGCGTGGGTCATGGGGGTGTATCCCCCATAAATAACTTGGTGTCCTCCCCACATTAACGAGTGAGACCTTGCTGTGGGTTCATATGGGATCTGGCTATTTAAAAGAGGTTGGGACCTCTCCCCTCAACTCCTTGTCTTACCATGTGGCACTGTCTGCTCTTTTTGCCTTCTGCCTTGATTGTAAGCTTCCTGAGGCCTCACCGGAAGCAGAGGCTGACAGCTTGCTTCCTGTACAACCTGCAGAACTATATGCCAAAATAAACCTCTTTTCTTTATACATAACCCAGGCTCAGATATTTCTTAATAGCAATGCAAACTGACTAACACAAACATAAGATGTATTACAAGTAAGGCCTAGTAAGCAATAGGATTTAATATTTAGTAGTGTTTTATCACAAACCTCCACAGTATCATCGGTAGAGGACAGCAAGATGATGAGAAAGACTGAAATGAGGAATCTTCACTGGGGCTGTCTGATTTTTAAATGTTTGCAAAGCAACTCAAATGTCAAAGACATAATCTAAATGTATATCAGATGCAACAAAGAACAGAATAATCAGTATAGAAAGGCATATAAACAATGATTTAAAAGAAAATTCAAAAACTCTGTCACAGCATGCATGGGAACCAACTTCATTATGGAATATTATTTAGAGGAACCCCTTCTGATGTAAATGCAGTCATGCTTCACAGAGTAATATGTAAATGTACCTTTTAAAGTTCCCTGTCTCAATTATCTGGATAGAAGCACTATCTTCCTTAAAGAATAAGAAACTTTTGAAGTAGATATTGAAGATTTCTTATCACACTTGTGTCCTCTATAGTAATTACTATACTTGTCTGGGTAAATAATAAAAGTTACCAGATGTGTTGTGAAAGTTAGCAGTTTAGAATCAACTTTCTTGTAAAATAAATATGAAGTACTTGAGTTTTTATTAAACTGTACTTTATTTATTTAAGCTTATTGTTGTTGAATGTATTTATTGCAAAAGAAAAGTGCTAGCAATGAATGGAATAAAATGTATTTGTTTAAAAGTGTTTTATTTATACTGTGCACTAAATTTCTGCTACTCAAATTAACTTTGAAGAGCAGGAGCACAGGCATCAGCTGGGAGCGATCATTTCCATCAAGTTCTCAGGTGATGTCCATGTTGCTGGTCTGTGTACCACACTGTAGCCAGGTTAGAATGAATGATATACCCACTTTCTATATAGGCTAATCTGATAGCTTGCTCTGAGTTTTACTACAGTATTGTTCACTCTCAATTTTATATTTTTGTCAAATTAGCCCAACTAGCAGACACTTCTTGTGGCTCAAATGGTACAAAGGAGAGCTCAGCCTATTATTCTGGAGGAAGCAAGCCATTAGCTTTGGTGGCTTCCAGATGGGATTAAGTGTGCAGGTGCTCAGAATGACTTTCCGTAGTCGCTTTTCATACCCCAAGACTTAGTCAATGTGCATGACAAAACTGGTTGTTTCACCAAGCGGCCAGCAGAGACAGCAACATGGATCATTTATTTCATCACACCCTAAGATCAGAAGGGGTGAAGGACTGACTGTGCCTGCTCTGTCCAAGTGAATTTATTTTTATCAAATAGCCCCCTACATACTCGTTCTGAAAGGGAGATACTAGTTTCTTCACATCGTAATGGGTCTGACAAAGACAGAGTTTAGCTGCAGTATTCTTTCAGATTTAATTTCTGAAGTAGGTGAGAGATGTGTTCACAGTTTAAGTCTCTCACAAATTACTACATTAGACATTGGTAGAATCTAGAAAAAACAAACTTGAAGACTAACAAATCATTAGGTTAGTGCAAAAGTAATTGTGGCTCTTCCAATTAAAAGTAATTTTAGTCTTAAAATTTGTTTTTTCTAATGTATCATGTCTAATTTTAAAATTATTATTAATTTTTTTTTTTATTTTATAGAGCCAGAGTCTCCCTATGTTGCCCAGGCTGGTATTGAACTTTGGAGCTCAAAGAATCCTCCCACTTTCACCTCTCAAATTGCTAGGATAACAGACATGAGCCACTGCACCCGGTCTAAAATTCTTATTTATAGTGTACTTCATCGAAACTTTTTAAAATGTAGGAGAAATGTTACATCAGATATGATACTGGGCATGTAAGAAAGCTGGAAAATACCAGTCACCCTGAAAATATGTGATTTTGAAGAAATAATGACTGAAAATTTTCTCTGATATCTAAAAGAACAAAAATTACTAAATACCCACATGGAAATACCATATTTGGTCACCCCAGACTAAGCGGAATTATCAAAAACCAGAAACAAGAAACAGGTTACCTGAAATTAAGTAGTAAGAGACCTCAACAGGACCCATAGAAAAAGGAAGACAGTGGAAGATTATCTTCAAATTTCTGAGGCAAAAAAAATGTCAACCCACTACTATTTATTTGCTTCTGCTAACCTTCAAGAGTAATAGCAAAATAGACATTGCATGCAAACAAAAGTGATAGACTACTATTAGCAAGCCTTCACTAAAAAAACCCAGGTAGTGAATTTTCCAAGGAGAAAAAATATGAACTTATAAAGATTGCACTGAATTGGTAACGGCAAATTTGTAAACATAAAATGTATTTCACAAAATGACACCAAAAAAACCTGCAAGATCAGTGTTATGTGAATAAGTAGTGGAATTTATAGAGTTGAGAAGCCCTGAATTTGTTCTTTTTTTCTAAAAAACTATTTTGCAATCTATGGTTAGAAGAAATAGACACAGTATTGTCTATTTTTGCAAAGCAAGTAGACAATTTAAATTGTGAATAAATACAATTTGTAAAAGCTGTTTTACCATATGTAAAAGCTAGAACAGAGTTTGACACGCATTGACTAAATGGCTAGGCAAAAGTAAATATATGAATTTCTTGGATATGAGAGAAAAATGGTTGAATAGGAGTTTTGAATAAAAAAGAAAATTCTGAAATATGTGCTAGTATGGCTATGATTTTAATGAATTCTTATTTATTGTAAATTGGCTAAATGATAACAGTTACATAGACCAACATCCATTCTCCTTCTTTAGAAAAGTACGGAAGTACTGAAGTATTTTAGGGAAAGATTTCCAGACAAAACAGTGATAAAAGCCTGATTTATTGGGCAAAGTATTTTCCCATGGCTAAAAATGTGAGCCATGATTCAATTAATTCTGAGGAAAAAAGAGAAGACATTTGTAGAAGTCTCTGGAAATATTTTTTTTAATTGGATTGTATTTCTATTCATATTGTATTTTTGGAGGAATATAGAAGTCACTTTTTTTGCTCCTTTATGACACTGATTGAACGAAGATATAGAAGCGATTTGCAGGTATTTTGTAAAAGAGAACAAACCTTAGAATGATACTAATGCCAGAAAATGCAAAACAAAAAGTTGACATCGAGTTGCTGACACAAATATACATTGAAGCTAATATACTTCTAGAATTCAGTTTATATTAGCCAAATAATAATTTTTCTTGTTTAAGCCAGTTTGACTTGGCTTTGGGCCCTATTTGTTTGTATGCTTGTGATTTCCTTCAATGCATTGCATATGAGACAGTTAAGAGTGGAGCAGCCAGGAATCCGAGTAACCAGAGCTTTCGGAAACTTCTTTCAGAGATATTGAAGTTAATTTAGATTAAATTAACCTACCTTACAAGAGGTATATATTTGCTACTAATTTCTGGAATTTCAGGTTTAGACAGTGTTATATATGTATAATATATGGTGAGTACAGACTTGTTGCCTCTAGTACATTATAAAAGAGACAGCACTGTTCACTAAATGTTCCTATTATTCTCCCCCTTATTTTTCCATTCTTATAATTGTTTCCATTGTCAACACAACATTTGCACCAGACAAAGTTAAACATGCCAGGAAGGCTTTATTTACAGTAGGGGAGAGAAGTCAGAACTCAGTCTGAGCATAAGTGCTCAGAGGAGAGTTTTTAAGAAGTAAGTGGGAGGATTTTAGGCCATTTGTGTTTGCGAATTGACTTTACCCAAAGGAAAAGTAAACTTTCTTGTACTTTCATGACAGAAGGCAAATTTACAACATGCAGTAGAGGGAGGTGTTCACCTAAATTAGGCATCTAATCTCACACGTAAATTAGGAGATAAGATCACTCTTTTCCATGATATTTATATTTCAAAAGGATGGTTCCCAGATCCTTGGGAAAAAATCATTTTGGGTTGTAAAAGTGGCTGTGAAAAAGATGTACATCTCAAAAGGGCAGACAAATAATTTACAGTCACAAATTCCCTAAAATAAATCCTCTTAGGAAAGGAAGGTCAGGGGCTTAGATGCGGAGAGGAAAAAGCCTTTGTGATGCTCTGTGGTTTTGAGGAAGTGTTTAAAACTGTTTTAATGATCATCTAACCAGTAGTAACCAACAAAACGCGAAAAAGTCACCATCTAATCTTCTGGATTTCTCTTTTGGCTTCTACTGTAGTTGAGCCTTCTAGGACATGAATCCTTAATAGTTTTGGACTTCGAGTAATAATGTAGAGTATAGCTCAACCAAGGACTTGAGTTGGACATGAAGAATAAACAAAATAAGTGTTTATTTTAAGCCACTAATACTTTTGGTTTCTTTGATACTACAGCATTATCTGGCATTGCCTGCCTAATATAGGTCTTGCTTTCAGTAGAATGCCACCTCAGTTAAGTCATTGTGTGACACAAGCTTCTCTACAGGGAGTGGAGGATACAATTAGGAAAAGCTGTAGATGTCACTCTTGAGCAGTAGTGGAATGGTTGGCAACAACTTATCTGTGAAATATCTTGTGAGACAGATTGCACGTCCAATTATTTTGTAGCTGTAGGGAAAGAGGTCAAAAAACAAAGTTCGCGTTTTGGGGTTTTATTGACTAAATTTTATCACACATTACCAGAAAGATGAGTGAAGAAAGGGATTGCTGAACAGCAGAAATAAAATGAAGTAAACACTTTCTGAAATTTTGGGCTTTGATGCTATGAAGCTCAAACAGTAAAAGCTATAATTGAGAGGCAACACTCTATCAAAACTCGACATTTTGGCCAAGACAAAAATGAGAGTGTAGCTTTCCCATTTATTGCTAAAAATTCTCAGAAGATTCAAGTGCCTCAGGGCAAAGATCAGATCACTCTCATAGAGAACAGTTAAACCACAAAACCAAATTAATTTATTTAGAGAATTTCAGGCTATAGTTTTTCCCCAGAAGCCAAAGAATTTGAGTTATCAACTTCAAATTTGAAGACAGAATAAAAGATCTGTGGGTAAGAAATTACATGTAGAAAAAAAATAGATATGAAAGGAAAATAAAATATTGGGACCCCAAACTCACTACGCCAAAAGGAACAGTTAAGCTTGGAGACTGAGGCTTGCAGAAAACTGCAAGGAACTTTTGTTCCTAAACATACAGCTATAAGATAGAAGGCTACATATCTCCCCAGATAGCCTCCCTCACCCTGACAATGAAAAATTAACAGCTTATCTTCATGAGGCAAGAGGAAACTAGAAATCCTCCCCCCATCGCCGCCCCTGCCCCTTAGAGGAATACATATTTGTCATCTTCCTCTGCTCTATATTTTTCTTATGTAAAGTGCAGATTTACTAAGCATGACATGAATAAGTAATTGTTCTTTTACCCCCTCCTTTTCACATGCAACATGTGGATTCAGTGAGTGCTAATCAAAACCTCAAAGGAATGTAATGGCCTGTCTCATTTGTTTACCTCCTCCCACCTTTTTTTTTCTTTCCTCCTTCCCCTCCTGCCCACCTTCCCCCTTTAAATATTGAAGTGCTCAAAACTCTTTCTGGAAAAAGCGTTGACCACAGATTCTACTTGGCTTGTAATTCTTTTTTTTTCCTTTCTTTCTTTCTTTTACAATTAACCTGAACAGCTGGTCGTAAAGAGCTAAGTTTTGCAGCGACCACTGAGGACTTGCTGAGTGGGTAGTGATGGGTCGGGGGCTTCTCTCATGGGCACCGTACCAATATATTGCCAACCACTGGGGCCAATGCCATTTTCATGAGCCCCCATAAAGGTGGTCATTATATGATGGGATTGGAAAGAGGCAGGGGAATGCACCAAGAATCTGTGGATAACCTGTCACTGAGTGGGAACAGTTTACAGACCAAGAGGATCTCTCTAGCCCTTGAAAGTATTGTCTTCCTTTTTTTTTGTAAGATACTAAAGCTCTTTCTTTCTTTCTTTATTTTTTTTCTTACTATACTTTAAGTTCTAGGGTACATGTGCACAAGGTGCAGGTTACATAGGCATACATGCGCCATGTCGGTTTGCTGCACCTATTAACTCGTCATTTACATTAGGTATTTCCCCTAATGCTATCCCTCCCCATTCCGCCCACACCATAACAGGTCCCGGTGGGTGATATTCCCCTTCTTGTGTCCAAGTGTTCTCATTGTTCAATTCCCACCTATGAGTGAGAACATGCAGTGTTTGGTTTTCTGTCCTTGGGATAGCTTGCTCAGAATGATGGTTTCCAGCTTCATTCATGTCGCTACAAAGGACATGAACTCATTTTTTTTTTAATGACTGCATAGTATTCCATGGTGTATATATGCCACATTTTCTTAATCCAGTCTATCATTGATGGACATTTGGGTTGGTTCATCAAAAAGTGGGCAAAGGATGTGAACAGACACTTCTCAAAAGAAGGCATTTATGCAGCCAAAAGACACATGAAAAAATGCTCATTGTCACTGGTCATCAGAGAAATGCAAATCAAAACCACAATGAGATACCATCTCACACCAGTTAGAATGGCGATCATTAAAAAGTCAGGAAACAACAGATGCTGGAGAGGATGTGGAGAA